GTAGAAGAACTCCCAGAACCCCATGAAGCAGGTATATGTGGCCCTGCGGGCCGCTCCAAGCAACAGCCTGGTGGACCAAACTCTCACAAGTCAAGCGTGGCCTCGGGCCGGGCTTGGGGAGTAGAACAACTCCCAGAACCCCATCAAGCAGGTATATGTGGGCCTGCGGGCCGCTCCAGGCAACAGCCTGGTGGACCAAACTCTCACAAGTCAAGCCTGGCCTCGGGCCGGGCTTGGGGAGTAGAAGAACTCCCAGAACCCCATCAAGCAGGTATATGTGGGCCTGCGGGCCGCTCCAAGCAACAGCCTGGCCTCGGGCCGGGCTTGGGGAGTAGAACAACTCCCAGAACCCCATCAACCAGGAATGCCAGAAGAGAAATGAATATAGGGACAAAGAGAGAAAAGCAAGGAAGAGAAGACCTAGATAGTGAAAAGCAAGAACTGAAGAACACGTCTCAGGTCTGAACGTTCCTTGGCCTACGATGACATTCTCTTGAACGATTCCCTCTCCTCCAGATGCTCACATAACACGTTCCAACAAACGTGCAATTCACTCAATATCCAACACCTTGACGGCATCACGTAGAGAGGAAGGAGAACGCGCAGATGAGATTGAAAAACAAATATAACATGAATTTGTCGCCAGAATGTGGAAAAAAATTGTCAACGGAAACTTGTCGCTGTTAACACACGCGTAACGGAGACGTTTGGGAACTTGGAGCAACAGGATCCCACTTGAGGCAGTCATTCCTAGATCATTATACACTGAAGCAGTATAACAAATCACTAGTTAAATCACAAGCTAATCATACTCGAGGCTTCGATACCTAGAGCTAGATTCACGAAGCAGTTACGCAAGTACTTACGAACGTGTACATCTTTCCTCAATCTTTGACGGCTTTGGTTACATTCATTAAACAGTTTACAAGCATGAAAACTTGCCAATCAACTGTTGTTATTGTTATAAACAGCCTCCTGGTGCTTCGGAGCTCATTAACTGTTTAATAATTGTAAACAAAGCCGCCAAAGACTGAGAAAAGATGGACAGGTTCGTAAGTGCTTGCGTAACTACTTCGTGAATCTGGCCCCAGGTTCGTAAGTGCTTGCGTAACACCTTCGTGAATCTGCCCCCTAGTCTCAACTAGTGAAGCCACTAATGACATTTCTAGATGAGGGTGAACTAGACATTAATATAGTTAGCAAGCGTCGAATCACTTGAAGAAGTCCACTAGTACCACCAGATTCCTACGAACTGTGCTGCTCTGCCCTGACAGGAGGGAAGGCAGCAGCAGCAGCAGCAGCAGCAGCAGCAGCAGCAGCAGCAGCAGCAGCAACAGCAGCAGCAGCAGCAACAGCAGCAGCAGCAGCAGTAACACCACCTTCATGTGAACTCTTGGAAAAAGCAAAGAATGAAATTTTGCCTTTTTTCCGACCCCTTCTCGCGGCAGAGATGATTCAGCCCTTTTATAGGCTATTATCACCAGCACTTCACTTGGTCCCAACTATACAAGTCCTGTGCCAGGTAAGTCCACTATACGGGTTCGCCATAGACCGTGCTACTTGGAACTTTTTGTCCCTATTAGCTGAATCTAAAGCCCTTGCTGTGAGAGATGCAGTAAGCAGTCTGTGAGAGAACAGTAAGAGTCACCGCGAATATCTGCTGATATAACAATGTTCTTCACTGTTCTACGTTTTGTGAGGACACGTGGGGCACTTTTTTGCCTCTGTCGAACAAGCTATTTTTCTTGGCTTTTTTTACAACTTAAAGACCCCTTTTTTTTAGCAGCAAGAGTAGCTCATTCAAGCTTTGATCTGACACTGAAAAGATCGTGTTGAAGACCTTTGAGGGAAGCTTCAAGGTGGTGTTATAGATTCAGCTACTTGGAACACGTTCCAAGTAGCACGGGCTATGGTGAGCCCGTAGTGGACTTACCTGGCACAGGAGCGGGGCAAGTAGCACGGGCTATGGTGAGCCCGTAGTGGACTTACCTGGCGCAGGAGCTGTGAGCTTCAGGAGTATTGCATTGAACTCAAGATGCATTGCGGAAGTGAACCCGGTCAGGAAGACTGAAAACCAGACACCCCCCCCCCTTCCAAACACCCCCATCACCCATTTCTAAACACCTCTTCAAAACCCCCATTTTCCAATGGGTCACAATAACATGACCCCCAGCCCATTTTCTATCATCTTATTCCAATCAAATTTTTGGGGTAACATTAATATTAACCAGACCCCACACACTAGAAGGTGAAGGGACGACGACGTTTCGGTCCGTCCTGGACCATTCTCAAGTCGATTCTGGACTTGAGAATGGCCCAGGACGGACCGAAACGTCGTCGTCCCTTCACCTTCTAGTGTGTGTGGTCTGGTCAACATTGATCAGCCAGGTTATTGTGACTCCTCGTCCGCGTAATATTAATAATTTAAATAAATATTATACCGGTTGAGCCAAATATGAACAGTTTTGTGGTCGCTAAGATCGTGCATGAGTCCCCCAGCCTGCCCAACCAGTTTCACTACACTGGGCTGAAGAAGTCACGACTTTGACACCAACTCCTGCGTTCTCACCAGCGTTCTCAAACGTCAAGAAACTCACGTATTAAAATGCGTTTATCTAACCTACCAGAGGACCTACAACGAAAAACGGGACTCAATTTCGCGAGCCGCTAATCATTTTCTAATGTCAGAATATATTTACTTTTATAAGTAATATTCGAATAGAGTATTACGAACAGTAATTAAATAATCATTACGTCTCTGACTCAGTCAGTTTTAACGCAGCCACATATGACGCCGCCCCACATATGACGCCGCCCCACATATGTCGCAGCCCCCACATATGTCGCAGCCCCACATATGACGCCGCCCCACATATGACGCTGCCCCACATATGTCGCAGCCCCCACATATGTCGCAGCCCCACATATAACGCTGCCCCACATATGACGCTGCCCCACATATGACGCTGCCCCACATATGACGCAGCCCCACATATGACGCCGCCCCACATATGACGCAGCCCCACATATGACGCTGCCCCACATATGACGCAGCCCCACATGACGCATTTTAACTATACAGCAAATTGAAAACTAAACCAAATTAGAGGTACAATTAAGAATCACGAACTCAAATGATCTTTCGGAAGCATATCCTTCTGTCGGGGAATTTATGCTTTGACGAACCCTAATTCCCAGTGTCATAGTAGTTTATTGAGATCTGATGACATTTAACTGCAGAAGGATATGCTCGTTGAACACTAAATTGCTTTACGGATTGCTGAATTATTTTGCGTTAGCTGTGTATGCATTTTTGGTGCGTTTTATGCTACTTCCCGCCTGAGTCAGGGCTCGGTCACGGTAGCATTACACCTGTAATTAATGTAATTACCAGGAAGTACATAGTGACAGCTATAATGACACATAGTGCGCCGGCTGTCATTGTAAGCATTCAAACTACCTTAACAAACTCAGATCACCTTAAACCATCCAGTAATCATTTAATAACCTAGTTATTTCCTACTATAATATCTTAATCCAAAGCCAATATTTGACAACAAATTTCCTAAATCCAAATTTAGTCAATTTGTATCCATTGTTTTGTTTATAAATATATTTAGCAATTTAATAATGTCGCCATTTTTCGGCCTTTTGTGTGTTTCAATCGTGTCATTTCAACTAAAGTGGGTATAAATTGGGTGATTTAAGATAGACCTGGGTAAATACTGGTTCGGTAACAGGGTTGTTGATTTGTGGAATCAATTATCGCGTAACGTGGTGGTGGAGGGGTCCATTGATTGTTTCAAGCGTAGGTTGGACAAAGGTTGGAGTAGGTTGGAGTGGTTGGAGTGGGATTGGGTGGTTATAAATAGGAGCTGCCTCGTATGGGCCAATAGGCCTTCTGCAGTTACCTTTGTTCTTATGATTTAAATTTAAATTTTAATTCTCTTCAAGAATGGTGTAATTCTTGATCTTATTCGAGGAATAAGAATATGTTTCTTAGTCCTGGAATAAACTTCGCTATTCTTTGTACTTGAGCGACGGTTTCCCTTCATGCAGGTCAGCGTTCAATCCCCGACCTTCCAATTGTTTGGGCACCATTCCTTTACCCCGTCCCATCCCAAATCCGGACCCCTTCCCAGTTCTGTATAGTCGTAATGGCTTGGCGCTTCTCCCTGATAGTTTCGTTTCAATAGAGACCAAAATTGATCTGCCTAATGTACTCTTAGGCCTAACAAGGGCAAAATAGAGCTAAACATTTGACTACGCCTCACTAATTCGACTTAAATAACTATGTCCTGTCCCAGCTAAGGAGAGCATTGAAAATATCAGTAATCTCTTTTCTTAATTAAGTCTTAATTACATCAATACCAAAGGCTTTGCTAAAGTCAAGGTTCACATTCACTTGGGTTCTGAGACACTCGAACCTCTGACCCCTGGCGTGAGAGGTCGAATTTCAAGGTTCAATTTCAATGCAATTCTGTAAACTATCAAATGGAAATGACATTTGAAAATTAAACTTTACTAAATTTCGAATACTTTGTTTTTTTTTCAAAGTGTATATGAATGGATCCAGTAAGTTCAGTAGAACTTCGGTTTCAATTCTTTTAACCCTGTCGTAGCTCAGTCGATTAAGGCAGTGTCTGGGATGCTCCCGGACGCAGGTTCGAATCCTCGTCACGGCCCTTGTGGATTTGTTCATTGTATAAGAATGGCTTTTGAAATTTTCAATTTTAGGTAATTTTCCAGTAGTAGATATATCAAGCAAATTGACCAATAGTTCAATAGTGATTTGATTAAAGATTTTAGCCCCTTCTCACCAGTGAAGGAAGTCCCTTATCCTAACCTTACCAGAGGACCCACAACAGAAAACGGGACAGTACGTCAATTTCGCGAGCCTCTTCCATTTTCTAATACGACAAGTTTGTGGCCTTAGGTGAACTATACGTCAAAATGCGACGTGCTATTACGGGGAGGAGTTGTATACAGAGCTAAAGATCATGAAATATGACTTCCCAGCCCCTGAAGTCACGGAGATAGAAGATGAATTTCTTTCTTTCACCGTGCTCCAAGACATCAAGTCCAAGACGCCACGTCCAAAGACACCACGTCCAACAGACATCAAATCCAAAGACGTCAAGTCCAACAGACACCAAGTCCAAAGACACCAAGTCCAACAGACACCAAGTCCAAAGACGTCAAGTTCAACATACACCAAGTCCGACAGACGCCAAGTCCAAAGACACCAAGTCCAACATACACCAAATCCAACCGACACCACGTCCAAAGACGTGAAGTCCAACAGACACCAAGTCCAAAGACGTCAAGTCCCACAGACACCAAGTCCAAAGACGTCAAGTTCAACAGACACCAAGTCCAACAGACACCAAGTCCCACAGACACCAAATCCGACAGGCGCCAAGTCCAAAGATACCAAGTCCAACAGATCAAATCCAGCCGACACCAAGTCCGACAGACACCACGTCCAACAGACCCCAAGTCCGAAGACACCAAGTACCATAGACACCAAGTCCGACAGACACCAAGTCCAACATACGCCAAGTCCAACCGACGCCAAGTCCAACAGACACCAAGTCCATTACAACAGTAAACTAAGCAATTTTGGGAGACCTGATATGACACCAGGTGAGGACCATTCTCAAGTCGACTTGAGAATGGTCCAGGACGGACCGAAACGTCGTCGTCCCTTCACCTTCTAAATGTGTGGTCTGGTCAACATACTTTAGCCACGTTTGATGAACAAATCCACAAGGGGCCGTGACGAGGATTCGAACCTGCGTTAGCCACGTTATTGTGACTCGTCTCAATAGTCATTAAATAACATTGTTCAAACGCATTCTTGCCCAGTTCGATAATTTAGTTCAAGGAACCATCCTTTTTCTTAATAAACCACTACGCAGTTTTTGAATCCATATTTCAGGGTTACAGCTCCTGTTCAATATATTTTGCATTTTACTTTATTTAAGTTTTATTTATCTTATCTAACAGGCAAAGAATTTATGAATATACACCTAAACCCGGACGTAGGTTCGAATCCTCATCACGGCCCTTGTGGATTTGTTTAAATATACACCTAACACCTATGCTACCCTTATACAATTAACAAAATTTAACAAATACACAAACCGTAATTAAACAAAATACACATGTTAAAATAGAATGTATTTTTACAAAGTTATCGAACGAGACTAATCTTTAACTCAAGTTAAAAGTCCTACAGAGAATTATTAATCTATTCCAGCATAGAACAGTCCTCAGGGCTATCAAGAATTAGTTAAAAGCTTCCTCTTACGTGTTCACGTTATCTTGAGGTTATCTTGAGATGATTTCAGGGCTTTAGTGTCCCCGCGGCCCGGTCCTCGACCAGGCCTCCACCCCCAGGAAGCAGCCCGTAGCAACTAACTCCCAGGTACTGAATATAACAATTGCTAGAAGGACTTTATCTAATCAGTATCCAATGCCTATCATACTAAGAGCACTATTAATAAAGGCATTTTACCTACCTCTTACCTTCATGTAGGTAAGCATGATGAATTACCTTCGGGAGTACGGATGACTAAGCTTGTAAAATTAGCTAAATGTGAAAATTCTTTCACATATAGCTACTCAGAACGAAGTGTCCATGTAGCACGGGCTATGGCGAGCCCGTAAACCCATTTTATTCACCAGTTTCTATATACACAACGAATAGCATAGTTCCTGAGGAGCCTCTCAGGTGTTAACCGCACGAACTACTCAAGGTAACTGGCGATAACTCCAGAAACCCAAGACAGGGGGCGCGCGCGGGCACAGTGCAGTTTCAACAAGCGGTTTGAGTAGTTCGAGGATTGAACGGACTAGTTAACTCGAGTACAATGATCTTACTCAATATATTTATATAAGAATTTAAGTCCATTCTAATTTTTTTTATGGAGACAAGATCTATAAAGATTTTCTGATAGCTTAATACTTTGATACCTGGTTGATGGGGTTCTGGGAGTTCTTCTACTCCCCAAGCCCGGCCCGAGGCCAGGCTTGACTTGTGAGAGTTTGGTCCACCAGGCTGTTGCTTGGAGCGGCCCGCAGGCCCACATATACCTGGTTGATGGGGTTCTGGGAGTTCTTCTACTCCCCAAGCCCGGCCCGAGGCCAGGCTTGACTTGTGAGAGTTTGGTCCACCAGGCTGTTGCTTGGAGCGGCCCGCAGGCCCACATATACCTGCTTGATGGGGTTCTGGGAGTTGTTCTACTGCCCCAAGCCCGGCCCGAGGCCAGGCTTGACTTGTGAGAGTTTGGTCCACCAGGCTGTTGCTTGGAGCGGCCCGCAGGCCCACATATACCTGCTTGATGGGGTTCTGGGAGTTCTTCTACTCCCCAAGCCCGGCCCGAGGCCAGGCTTGACTTGTGAGAGTTTGGTCCACCAGGCTGTTGCTTGGAGCGGCCCGCAGGCCCACATATACCTGGTTGATGGGGTTCTGGGAGTTCTTCTACTCCCCAAGCCCGGCCCGAGGCCAGGCTTGACTTGTGAGAGTTTGGTCCACCAGGCTGTTGCTTGGAGCGGCCCGCAGGCCCACATATACCTGCTTGATGGGGTTCTGGGAGTTCTTCTACTCCCCAAGCCCGGCCCGAGGCCAGGCTTGACTTGTGAGAGTTTGGTCCACCAGGCTGTTGCTTGGAGCGGCCCGCAGGCCCACATACCCACCACAGCCTGGTTGGTCCAGCACCCCTATTTCTATTCTATTAAGGAATGAAATCAACTTTTATCCAGAATGATAAGAAATGAGATCAACTTGGATTCATATCAACAAATCTAAGATAACATACCAAGACGGGAACTTATTTAACCATCTCTTTATTTACGAAATCTGTACAAAATGACCTTAGAAATTGTAACAAGACGACCTTAAGAGGTTGGTAGGGGGGGGGGGTGAGAGGTGGGGGGGGGGAAGAGGAGACAATGCTTAACAAACGTGTTATTAACGTAGTAATCCCGTACAAGGGCTTCCTGTCCCCGCACCACGCCGGGGACAAGCTCCGCCCAGCAATTGTTAAAACCAATTTAACATGTGCCAAAGGGATTCCAACCCTCTGTAATTACTAATTCCCAACCACACAATCCTATAGTTACATTCGGCAGCTCGAAGGAGCTCCAGTTATCACATATAAACAAGGGGATCCGGTCGGCCGAGCGGACAGCACGCTGGACTTGTGGTCCTGGGTTCGATCCCAGGCGCCGGCGAGAAACAATGGGCAGAGTTTCTTTCACCCTATGCCCCTGTTACCTAGCAGTAAAATAGGTACCTGCGTGTTAGTCAGCTGTCACGGGCTGCTTCCTGGTGGTGGAGGCCTGGTCGAGGACCGGGCCGCGGGGACACTAAAAAGCCCCGAAATCATCTCAAGATAACCTCAAGATAACGCTATTAAAGTATACTAAATAGTTTACAACCAATAGATCAGGAGCATGAGTTTACCGTTCAATGAATACTCGGCTAGGGATACACAGTAGTTTCAAGGCGTTATATGACAAAGAGTGCTGGGAAGACGGGACACCACGAGCGCAGCTTTCATCCTGTAACTACACTTACACGTAACCAACCCCAAAAGGGGGTTGGTTACGTGAATTGCTGTGGGGGAAGGGGGGAGAGGGGGTTGAGATGGGGGGGGGGAACCAGAAATCATACTATCATCATTCTATCAAACCACTATCATATCATTGAGACACACGACAAATCAGAGCTCCTGGATGAACCCTGAAGCTAAACTGAATACAATACCAACTAAATACAACAGCTAAGGGGAAATACATTACCAGTTTAATACAATATCATGCATACACCCCCCCCAATATGCCTGGGGGGAACCCACTGCAATGCCCTCTTGAAAGGACATGTTCCCAGCCCTTACTGATTGCATAACTCTTTCTGGGTAGAGCTTTCAAAAGCAGGTTACCTTGAAGTGGGGTGGAGGGAGGGTAGGGAGGGTTGCCTACCAGTCAACAACCCCCCTTACCCCTTCCCTAAACCCCCCCTCCCCACTACCTCTCCATCTCTGCCTCCTCACGGCCTAGACGCTGCCTATAGGCCTATACAAGCCTTGCGGAGAGAGGTCTAGTTCTGCATTGTGTTTGGTAACGGATGGAGAAAACCTACTAACGGGCATGTATGGAGTACGTAACGATGTTCGTTAGCAACGCAGCTTCGCCTACACGCACACGCACACACGCACACAAGGCGGGACATGCAGATATGATAAGAGCCCAGTAGGCTCAGGAACCTGTACATTAGTTGATTGAGAGTTGAGAGGCGGGACCAAAGAGCCAGAGCTCAACCTCCGCAAGCACAACTAGGTGAGTATACACACACACACACACACACACACACACACAGTTGAGAGGCGGGACCAAAGAGCCAGAGCTCAACCCCCGCAAGCACAACTAGGTGAGTACACACACACACACACACAGACACACACACACACACACACACACACACACACACACACACACACACACACACACACACACACACAAACACACACACACACACACACACACACACACACACATGCGTATACGCACACGCTCGTATAAACACACACACGCACTCGCGTGCACACACACACGCTATTTACAGCCTGTAAACACACACTTCCGAATGAGCAACGGAAGGTATTTGGTCTTGGAGGACGGAGGAAGAATTTGCGTCTTGTGTGGTCAGACTGTGAGTGATTAATGTACCCCCAATGACGCAAAAAAAGTGCGCTATCAGACGCAAAAACGATGACGCAAGAGTGATTCGAAACGCTAATTACCACAGAAATTTAATAGAAATCTTAAGAGCCTTATTAAACGACCATTGAAGTCTCTGTCTACTGATAGAGAGAGAGAGAGAGAGAGAGAGAGAGAGAGAGAGAGAGAGAGAGAGAGAGAGAGAGAGAGAGAGAGAGAGAGAGAGAGAGAGAGAGAGAGAGAGAGAGAGAGAGATAAGGGGGAGGAAAATAGGGTTGCTGTTGTTGTTGTTTAAGATTCGCTACTAGGAACAACAAATTCCCAAGTAGCACGGGCTATGGTGATCCCGTAGATTTCGAGCGTAGGGGTGGAATTACACAGGTATCGCATGGTAAAAAAAAAAAACCTTTGCTACCCTTTTACCCGGCCAGGTCTAGCCTACCCCTATCCTTTTAACAAGGGGGATTTTAGGGCAAAGTTGTTTAGTTTCCAACACTTTATGCATGGTCTGAAGCGCCTTGAGGTCAAAGACCCACAATAGGGGAACCCTTATTTTTTTAGGGTTCGGGGAGGAAGGGGGAGGACCAGCTGTACGCTATCTTTAGTGGTAAGAACTAATGTAATCAATGCTTATGATATCTGGGTTCGAGTCTCTTGCAGGGGTTGAGTCCAATATGTGTTTATATATATATATATATATATCCCTGAACTACATGTTTAACAGATCTCTCACCCTGTCCATGGAGGACAGAATAAAATGTATATATGCTGGTTAGCTCTGTTATTGTTGGTATAGATTCAGCTACTTAGAACAGGTTCCAAGTAGCACGGGCTATGGTGAGCCCGTAACTTAACTGACACAGGAGCGGGGCTGTAACTTGGAGCTCCGTCAGCGGGAGAGCTGTTTTATAGACAGGAAA